CTCCAGAGGGCTTGGTCTTTACGTTGTTTTAGAAGGGTGAATCTTCAGGGTGAAAGCATGAGGCTTTCAGAATTTAGGCTTATTTGGGAAGGTCAACAGTTAATAGATTCTTCTCCACCTCCCTACTTCTCTGTCAGCCTGTCTGTCTCTCTGGGTGTATGGTAATGTGTGAGTGTTTAAATATGCCTTTTGCCTATTAAATGAATCACTTTATATACTTCTGTGTTTTCTGCAAAGAAAATAAACTGGGTGCTTTCCTGTTTTTCTATGACGTTTTATGCATAATAGATGACATGTAGTCTTAGTTTGTTTTCTGTTCCTATAGCAGAGTACCCAGTAATTTATAAAAGAAAGAAGTTTATTTAACTCATGGTTCTGGAGGCCGGCAGTCCCAGATCAGGGGCCTCTACCTGGTGAGAGCCACGTGCTGCATCTCCATGTGGTAGAACAGAAGGGAGAGCGAACAGGAAAACACACAGGGTGGGGCCTGCTTCAGGAATACCTGCTCCACTGGTAACTGACCCAGCCCTGTGAGAAGTGCATTAATCCCTTTTCTCGAACTAGTCAGCCTTTTAAAATTCTGCCTCCCACACTGCCACACAGCAACATAGTTTCAACATCAGCTTGGGATATATACTATGTTCTAAGACAAAAGTGGTGGGGAGCCTCCTGAATGCAAGTTGGATGTCTTAATTACAACCTGTGCCAGGAAAGAAAACTCTGCTAGTAACACCAGAAGCCCTCCCACTTTTCCCTGACCCAGTCCTCACCCAGGAAAATGACCACTGTCCTGATTTCTGTGGTAATTCATCTTTGCTTTTCATCGTGACATGTCAAATAGGCATGCATGTTTAAACTTTATAATTTGTCAGTCTTTAAAAATAATTTTTAAGATTTAAAAAAAAAAAACCTCATTTTCCTCAGTCTTTGTCCCTCATTTTCTGTGTAAATTAGTGAGGAAACTAGGTCATTGTTGATGGGGGATGTCCTTCTGCATATATGCTCCTCTTATTGGTTGATAAATAAAACACTGATTGGTCAGTAGCCAGACAGGAAGTATAGGCAGGCGTACCAGATGAGACTTTCCAGACGAGGACACAGAGAGTGAGCCCCCAGAGGGATGTCATGTAGCCAATGAGAGTAATTCTCCAGTAATCCAAGACTACATGGAGATACATAGTTTAATAGAAATGGGTTAATAATTAAAAGAGAGCTAGATAATAAGAAGCTTGAGCCACTGGCCAAACAGTTCATAATTAATATAAGTCTCTCTGTGTTTTCTGGGGCTAAAGGGCAGTGGGACCAGGTGAGAAAGAAACTCCATCTACACATTGTCCCACAACCTGGATTTTGCTGAGTATATGCCTGTACATAGCATTTCTTTAAAAAATTAAAAATTATTATTTTGTGTGTTTGGGTATTCTATCTACATGTACGTCTATGTACCATGAATATGTCCAGTGCCTCAAAGAGGCCAGAAGAAGGTGTTAGATCCCCTGGAAATGAAGTTACAGATAGTTCTCGGCTGCTGTGTAGGTGTTGAAAATCAAATCTGGGTTCTCTGGAAGAGCAGCTATCTCTCTAGGCCCCGTACATAACATTTCCATACTCTCTGTTTTCTTGTACGTGCATGCAAATAAATGTGGAGACCAGAAGTCAACCCTCAAGGACACTCCTTAGCCATTGTTCACCCTGTGTTTTGACACAGGGCTTCTCACTGGGTCTGGGGTTCATTGATTCAGTTAGGCCGAATGACTAGAGCTCCACATATCTGCCCATCTCTACCTCTCTAGTGCAAGGAATAACAAGCATGATCCACTAGGCTTGATTTTTTTGTAGGTCCTGGAGTTTGAACTCATTACCTTATGCTTGTGCAGTAGGTACTTTACTCCCTGAGCTATCTCCCCAGCCCTGACTCCTCATTTCTTCGTATGTATGTATGTATGCATGCATGTATTTTGTTTGTATGTACGTATGTATGTTTGTATCTGAGACAGAACCTCTCTACTTAGCCCTGACTGTTTTGGAACTCACTATGTTGACCAGGCAAGCCTTAACCTCACAGAAATCCACCTGCCTCTGCCTCTTAAGTGCTGGGATTAAAGGTGTGTGCCACTATGTCTGGCTACATTTCTGTGCTCTTAAGTGGATGGAATCTTTGTGATTGGACACTGTAGGGTTTGATGGTGAGAGCCTCCTTCCACCCACCCCTTTTTTTTTTTTTTTTGTCAAATAATACTCTTGTACACTGTGAAGATTTGTCACTTGAATTGGTATAATAAAACACTGATTGGTCAGCAGCTAGGCAGATAATATAGGTAGGGAAACCAAACTAACAAACTAAGGATGACAGGAAGGGAAAGGCGGAGTCTGGAGTCACCATCTAGATGCAGAATTAATTGGACACACAAGATAGGATAGAGGTAAAAGCCATGAGACTCAGGTCAGCACATAGATTAATAGAAATGGGTTGTAAGAGCTAGTTAGTGATAAGCCTGAGCTATTGGCTGAGCATTTATAATCTATATTCAGCCTCTGAGTGGGTATTTGGAAACTGGCAGCAGACAGGAAATGTTTGTTTACATATGGCACCCAACATGGGACAAGAATTTCTACATAAAACCTGAGAAAACTTAAAAAAAAATAATAAAAAAGGATTCTAAACACAAAAACAGAGTCAAGCACAGCTTCTTGGTAACTGCCTTTTCTTGGTAGGCTCTGCTTGCTAGTGAGCAGAGGCACAGTTCTTTTAAAAGCTGGCTTCCTGGGTCAGTGCTAGGGGCAAAAATGGCATGGCTCTTTTGAGAGGCCCTACTCTTGAACACTTGAATGGGTTTGTGAGCAGCAGGTGGCTTGCTGCAAAATGGCAGCATGGACCCAGAAGCTCCCTAGAATTGGGGCAGTAAACATGGCTCTCCTCTCCCCTGCCATGAAGCTAAGCTCTCACATACCAAGGAGAGGGTGGAACCAGCCATCAAAGCTGCTGCTTTGGTTCTAGGCATGTAGCTTAGCTGTTTAAAGACTCATGTGGTCTTTAAGAAAATAGAGATATACAATAAAGATAAATTCAGACAAAAAACAAGCCACCTCTAAACAGTTTGCAGTATGTTTAAGAATATGCATAACTTGAGAGAGAAAAGGTTTAGGCAGACATAAAAATACATAGTTTTAAAATAATAAAGTCTTTAAAAAAGGAGCAAAGTAAGAAAAAGTTACGTAAAGATGGAATATACACAGAGAGTAGGGATATAGTATCTTGTGTTGTTTTTGAATTATTTGACTGCTGAGGAAGGAGCAACAGCTGCTAAGAGACATCTGATCATAAATGTTGCTGGATTAATCCAACCCATATATTTTAAAAATATTGACTTCAAAGTGTAAGTCAAAAGATATGATACTTTGGGAAAGAGGTTTTGTTTTTATTTCCACAGGAAATGGTTGGCTCCGGATTCCTCTGGCTTAAGAAAAATCAAGTTTGATCAAGGGAGCAGATGTCCCAGATGATCCAGCATCTGATCTCAGAGCTACGTTTCACTTTCCTGAGTTCAAGGCAGCCGAGCAGCTTCTTCTGGCTTCCTGGCTGTGGGCGTGGATGACCAGCTGTCCCCTCTTACCCTCATGCCTTCTCTGCTGTGATGGACTGCATCCTCAAACTGTGGGCCAAAACTAACCTTTCTTTTCTTCAGTTGCCTTTGTTAGCCAATTTTATCATAAAATATGACACGATATGGCATGTAACTATTACAGGCCTGTGATTAAAATGAGGGTTAGGGCTGTCTGATGAGAAAGGTCAGCCAGGGCCCAGGCATGATCCTAGCTAATGAGTGTGAATGTTAAGTTCTGAGACTGGCTGAGGCCTTATATGAATGCATTTTTACTCTGTTAAAGACAATCAAGACACTCGAAATTGTCACATATACTGTTCATGCACTAAACACATCTGGATGGTGAATTACTTTCCCCAATGGCTTGTGCATACTAGCTTCGTGTGTCTGCTGAACAGTCCTCGACTATTCAGTCAGTACCTGGTTGTTGTTAGTACTGGATGGCGCATGCTTCCGGGGGCAGAGTCTTAATTTCCTCCCTGCTACTAGAGAATCTTACCATATTCACACCTTGTTCTAGTTTATGATTACACAATAGCCACACACAATGTGAAAGTACTTGATGCTGCGAAGCCATACTGTCCCGGTTATGGTAAATGGAAAATTTGTGTCATGATGTTCAAGGAGAAAAACCCAGCCACCATACAAGTAATCATATGCAGAAGTAAAAGGTACTGTGCCAGCAGAACCCTGGGGTTGCAATCCAATTTAGCGTCTCTCTTGATGATGTCCTGCAGACTTCCGAGGTCTGTCCGGTCCTAAGGTGAGGCTGTGAAGGTCAGGAGGAAGTGTCCTCGGTCTCTCGCCGCCTGGGGTTCTTCCGCCCTCTGTGGTCTGGACCGCACTGCTTCCCTACATCCCTGGGCTGAGGCGCAGGGAGTGTAGTTTCGAGGTCCCAGATGAGAACCTCCGCCCTCTACTAGGCTATGCCAGGCTTCTGCCCGCATCGCTTTCAGGATAGGCTGAGGCAGCCCGGAGGAGCCATCTGTGCCTGGTAGTGCCCGGCTAGTGTACCCTCTCGCGTTGCCATCCCGCACCTGCCCCGCGCCTTTGGTCTCCGGGAGCCAACAACCCTGCCCAGGCACATGCGCAGTGGCGCCGCCGGGAGCCCAGCCTCCGCCTCCGCCACCGCCTCCCGGTTCCGCAGTCACTTCCTGCAGCTGTTTCCCTGTGGCTCCGCTCCGACTGACTTTTGACAGTCAACCTCCAGCAGCGTAGCGGCCGGGCGGTGGCGGGCGGTGGCGGGCGGTGGCGGCGAGCGCAGCAAGTGATCGTGGAGCCTGGCAGCGGCGCGCGGGGTTGGCAGGGCGGCTGCGGCCTGCCGGTTCCGGTGAGTGCGGAGCGCCGGTCTCGCCGCTGCGTCCGTGTGCGCGTGTCAGCCTCGCCCGTCTGCGGCGTCCGGCGGGCCACCGAGTCCGATCCCGCAGCCGTTCGTGCAGCCGCTTCGGCGACTCTTCCAGGCGGCATCCGCGCGGGACCCGAGTGCATGTGTGCGCGCCTAGCCCAGGAATGGCACACGCGGGGGCGATGCTGCAGGGGCGCAGCTTTGAGTCCTAGGAGCTGAGTCTGGGTCGCCACGGCCTCGGAGGCTTTCCCCCCCTGCCTGCTACGTTCTGGTGACCTCTGAGTAAGGTTCTCTGTTTTTCTTCTCCAGAATACCCAGGGACAGCCTTCCCTACTTTATACGGACGCCAGGAACCTGTTCCTGGATTTTCTTCTTTTCCCTGGGTCCATTTCTGCCAAGGGGATGGCTGTTTGCAGTACAGCCCCAGAAGAGTAGGCCCCAGCCCAGCCATGGAAACGTGTGCTGTGGTCATTCATTTCCCATGAACCTGTACATGGTGGAGCTGTGATTTTTCTTTAGTATCTTCTCAGTTCCCTTCCAAATTAGGACATCAAGCCCTGTGCATCCTTCATGTATGCCATTGCACGCGTCCAATCGGATGGATTTTTAAGATCTGAGAAGTATTTTTATAACAGCTTCTAAATTAACCCCTTAATGCAGCAGTTTGAACGGATCGGAGTGTTTTGGGTCTCTGTATTTCACAGTTTGTGCATTCACCGGCATTTGGTTTTATTTATTACCCAAATGTAATACCTGTTGTGGTTGTCACTTATAGAATTTTTATAAGAGGGGGTTAGCCTCATGTTGATTATTAAATATAACAGCAGTATTTTTGAGGTCTCTACCCTTTCTTTGGACATTATAAAGATAAAATGTAACATTGGGTAAATACCTCTCAGCCCACCCCCACCGGTGTTTTGCTCTGGAATTAGGCCTTTTGTGCCTCTGTCTTGAGGAGGGCCTTGCTTCTGCTGGAAAGCTGTTCGTCACAGTGGGGGCAACGCATGCTGGGGTTTCCTCAGGTGGGAGTGAATATGCAAGAGACAAGCCCAGGCATGTCTGACTATAGGCTGGTTGAGTTCTCTGTGTGTTGCTGATTTTCTTTATTTGGATGTTTTGGTACCCTGCTCTGTCCTTTCTCCATGATGACCTAACAGAATCTATATGACAAATTAGAGAATGAAAGGACAAGGTCAGTTATGACCAAGTAGTTAAACTATTTTTAAAAGATGGTTTTATTTCTTTAGTTTCATTACCCACCTCCCCGATATCCATAATTATTTTTTGCTTTTTATTTAGTCTGGAGAAATAATATTGTTTCAGAGAAACTTACCATTTAAATGTTCCAAACCTGCATCGCTTTTCTTTGTGTCTCCAGAGATATGGGCAGTTTTCTAGCTATTACTATTAATAAAAAGTACTGTTAAATTCTATGACTAACCATCAATTCATCTTGCTCTTAACTGTATGACTTCCCAGTCAGTGGCTTCTCTTCACTGTCTGTTTACCAAATGTGCTAAATACACTTTTACTTTTTAAAGGTTCCTTGAGTCATTTTAGTAAACCTGTTACTGCTCTATCCTACACATCTTCATCTCAGACGGAAACCAAACCTCAGGAGCTGAAGACACCACCTTCTATTGACCAAGAAAAGTTTTAACAATAGTGAAAGTGGAGGGAAGGGTAGACTTTGAAGTAAAGATTCTAACTTAGATAATTAGAATCTGGAAACTTCAAAGGGTGTTTACAGTGGTGGTCAGAACTACAACATGCCATCTGATTGGTCAGAACGAAAAGATGCCATCTGACTGGGGGGGGGGCAGGAGGAATTGGGAATAAAGCTGAAGAAGGAGTGGGACATAGTGGGTCTTTTCTGAGGACAACAGAATACAGAGTGTTTTTGTTTCTATTTTGTTGCTATGATAAAATATCCTGACAAAAGCCATTTAAGGGCTCTTTTAAAATTAATTTTGTGCTACTGTTTAAGGCACAGTTGCCATAGTGGGGTAGTCTAGGCGCCAGGAGCCTGAGGCAACTGGCCACATGATCAGGGTAGGCCGTCTCATGGGGTCCACAGTCAGGACAGCAATGTGAGTGTTAAGTTCTGTCGTCTCCTTTTGATGCTGTTTAGGACCGTGCAGTGGTACTACACACTTTTGGGGTGGGTCTGCCTTTCTCAGCCTAATTAAGAAAATCCCTTATAGGCATGCCCACAGCCAGCCTAATTTGGATCACTCTTCATTGAGCTTCCATCTCTAGATAATTTCAGACCCTGTCTGGTTGACAATTGAAGTTATAACCATCACAGAGTGTATCCTTATACAAATGGCCTAAAAGTCATCTAGGGCTTTGGATAGTATGGTCCATAAGTTGGATAGACATTTTTCAATCTGGATGCTTTATCTTGAGTGGGTGATATACCTTCTGATGGAGAGAAGATATTTTGATTTTACAAGGTCTAAGGCTGTATGCAGTAGTCACCATCCTAAAGCCTTTAGGCAATGCCCTGAGTAGGGTTGAGGGGGCCCTGAGAAGGCTGGCCTGGGTGTGGAGTGTGGTGTTTTTGGCACCAAGCAGGTGGTTGTGTGTGGTGGAGGATGTGGGTGTAGTGTTGTCAGATTATCCTTTTATTGCTAGATTCTATGAAGCTTTTGATTTTTAAATATTGACAACTAATTCAACTTAAAAACAAAAGTAAAACAAAATTGTCTTCCAAACAGCACATTATGCCATCTGAGGTTCACAGGCTGTTCCTGTCAATTCTACATTACAGAGCCTAACTATTTGTTGGTTGCTCGGAAGGAGACTTAATGCTGTCCTCTCTTAGATTATGCCTTAAAGATCTGATAGGTGGCTGGGTGTGGCTTTGCAGGACTTGGGATGTGGAGACAGGAAGATCACTCTTCAGCAGCATAGCAAATTTAAGGCCAGCCTGCACTATGTGAAACTCTGTCTTAAAAACCACAAAGAAACGGTGGTTGGTGACGTGACTCAGTGGGTAAAGTTCTTGCTATACCTCTTAGGTATACACATGTGTGTACAGATGTTGTGCCATGGTGCATACTTACACAGGGTAAAAACAAATAAGACAAAAATTCCTAAAACAAAAGAAGGGATTCTTAAAAGATGATAACCTTTTCTACTCTGTGATATCCTTTGGGTGGAAGAGGTTCTTGCCTTTGGATTTTCTCTTGTTTGTTTGCTTTGGTTATGCATATTACCATCAAGAGTATTTCAGCATTCCAGATGGGAGGGGTGTGGATGACCTTTGATGTCAAATTCCAGCCATGTGACTCTTCAGCTTAATTGGACATGGATGCAATGCTGCTAATGCCTATGGCCAGAGGGATGGCGTTTGGAGCTGAGCCAAGCAAAATCAAATCAAATCTCTGAAGCTATTCTCAGGGGCAAACCTTATGTCAGTGGGATAAGCAGGCAGGGAGAGTCTGCTAAGCTAAGACGAAGGAGAGATGCCCCAAAGGTGGGTTTGAAGAGGAGAAAGACTGTCATTTCTGTGTCATATTGCTGAGATCTCATTTTCATTTCCTTCCCTGGTTGCTTTAGGTTTGAAGACGCCAGCTCTCACCATCCACTGGATTATGCCCGTGGCTTTCTTGCCTGATGATTCTCTTGCAGCAGGCTGGGCTTCCTCCACCTAAGCAGCCCTCGACCTCTCCTCCTATGTCAGTGGCTGCCAGGTCCACAAGGACCTTGCAGCTTCCACCACAGAAGCCGTTTGGACAGAAGGCATCCTTGCCTCTGGCAGGGGAAGAGGAGTTAGCTAAGGGAGGGGAGCCAGACTCTGCCCTGGAGGAGCTGTGTAAGCCCCTCTTCTGCAAACTCTGCAATGTCACCTTGAACTCTGCTCAGCAAGCCCAGGCACACTATCAGGTAAGAAAAGGAAAGGAAAAGAGCTATCAGTGGGGTGAGCTTTCTGGGTGCTATTTGGTTAGATGGTATCAGTGGGGTGAGCTTTCTGGGTACTGTGTTATTAGATGGTGTCTTAGGGTTTCTATTGCTGTGAAGAGAAACCATGACCATGACAACTCTTATAAAGGAAAACTTTAACTGGCTTACAGTTCAGAGGTTTAGTCCATTATTGCCATGGTGGGAAGCATGGTGGCATGCAGGTAGGCATGGTGCTGGAGAGGTAGCTCAGAGTTCTACATCTGGATCAGCAGGAAGTAGGAAGCAAAATGCCATGAGGGCCTGGCTTGAGTGTCTGGGACCTCAAAGCCTACTCCCAGTGACACACTTTCTTCAACAAGGCCACACCTCCTAATAGTGCCACTCCCTATGAGCCTATGAGGCCATTTTCATTTAAACCACCATAGATGGTATCAGCTGGGTGAGCCTTTGCAGTTAGTTAGATGGTGTCAGTAGGGTGAGCATTTTGGGTGTTGGGTGGAGAAGTTGACAATGGAGTGAATATTTTGGGCACTGTTTGGCCACAAATTACCTCTCCAGGTATGGCCAACTGAGCTTCGAAAAGTCAGAAGAGGCAGAGAATAGATTACCATGTATCACACAGTGGGTTTTGTCCATGGTTCCAAGGAGAAATATACTACATTAATTCAGTGTAAATTACATAAATTACACTGAATTAATTGTTTTGAAGTTTGTACTACTTTATCAGTTCAAGGCCACCTACCACATGATTTTTACACTTTCTTTTACTTCAGACTTTTCCTATGTACCCTATTTTAGCTGAGGCAAATACAGGTATTTTTTTTTTTATAAAGAAAATAGTAATGGTATTCAATTACTGAGTTTTACCTTCATCATAAACGTAATCTTAGTTTAAGTCTTCTGAATGAACTGATACTGAATATTAAGGTGTAAAGCATTTGTCTCTATGTAGAATAGCTTGTGAAAAAGTTCATTTTAAAGGGTATTATTGCCTAGGAATAAATGGGGAACTACAGGGGAATATATGGCTTTGTTTTTAAATTTTTATTTTATTTTTAGTTATGTGTTTTTGTGTGTGTGCACATATGCATGTGAGTGTCTGCAGAAGCCAGGAGAGGATGTTGTACCCCTTGAAGTTGGAATTTCAGGCTGGTTATGAGCCACCTGATATGGGTGCTGGGAAGCAAACTCCAGTCCTCTGCAAGAATTGCAAGCACTCTCAACTGCTGAAACATCTCTCTCCTAGTATTTCTTTTTATTTTATTCTGTTATCTGTATACAATTTGATGTTTTTCCTTTTGGAGGAGACCTGAAAACAGAAACCTTCTTTGAATGGAGGTTATCTCCTGGACAATCATTGATTTAGTTTTTAATCACTGCCAAGATCACATGGCAGAAAGCTGTTGGTTATAAAGTATTTGTTTTTGCCTGAAACTATACTTTTCTGTTGCAACCTTCACTGCTTCCAGATTGACCTGGCTGAGGTGACAGAGAATGAAGAAAAGGCAGGCATCATTTAGAAAAGCTGGGATCTAGTAGGCAGTGATCTCTGATGGGAATGCATCAGAATGCAGAGGTCAGGAAACTTAGCAGGACAAGGAGGAGGCAGGGTAGCTACTCTTGGGACAGAAACTCCATGGGGGAGCAAGGAGGCAACATTGTGTTGATTCTTTCTGCACACTTTGCAAACATTCATGCTCATAGTCAGGAGTAATAAGGCCTTGCCATTCCCATGAGTCTGAGGCACTGGTCTTCTTGATATAGTTGTGCACATGTCAATAAGACACACTCACTCAGGAGTTCATCGGCTTCTCTTACTTTTCTCTAGTTCTACGTTTTTGCTTGCTTACTTTTGTTTTGATCCTAAAGATGGGTAATGGAATACTGTGTCTTGCCTTATAAATATTTCCTTGGGAAGAAACAGCCTGTTGCTCTGCCTTGTTTATGTCTACCTGCTGCCAGCCGCAGAGCAGAATTCATTGCAGCATGTCTTGGCACAACCTGGGTTAATCAAAGCATCTGTGTTTCTTCCCCATTTTCTTCTAAGGTCCCTTTCTCTCATCCCTGTGTGCTGCTCCCCATGATGATGGCCAGATATTTGGGGGGGCTGCTTTTCCTGCTTTCTGTTTGTTCGGGTGACAGCTGTTGTGATGACCCATCTCAAACAGACATAAATGTAGCTCACCTCTGCATTTATTCCTGTGAGATGTTTTGTTTTGCGTAAAGAGTCACTTGCAATAATCAAGGATGAGTTGGATAGTTAGGATTTTTAGTTCTTTGAAGCCCCTTCTAGATCTTTATTGGGCATAGGCTTGCTTTTTGCCTAGTCATTACCTTTTAGGGAAAAATGAGGCAAAGTTTGATTTTAGATATGTTTGTGTGGGTTATACTTTTACCGCAGGTTGCTTTTGTGACTCTTGTGTCTACACAGTGATAGGAACTTTTGGTTTTTCACAGAGAATTCAGTTTGATGGAAAAATCATTGGATTTAGGCTTAAACTGCTAATTAAATCAACCTTCTGAAAATTATATATCTATGTGTTTGATCTAAACGTTTTAGTTGATAAGGTTTGTAAATTAAATTATTCCTGTTCTTTCCATGATGCAGTGAGTAAATAAACTAGAAAACTACAAAACAAACAAACAAACAAAAGAAAAAAGAAAAAGAAAAAAAAAATTCCCAGCAAAGTTGGGGGAGAAATACAGCCTGTTGCAGAGCAGAAATCAAATAGCCAAATATGAGAGTAAAAAAAAAAAAGAGAGAAGCAGAAAGGAGGTATGGCAGATGCAGAACCTTCCCAGCACTTGGGAGGGGGAGGGCAGGAGAGTAGGAAGCCAAGGAAACCCTCAGCTGCTGAGTGACTTTGAGGTTAGCCTGGGCTACATGAGTGTGGAAGAGGACCAGTCCTAGACATGAACGTGCACGCTATTGGGTATGGGTGCACATGCGTGTGACTGTATTTGGGAGGCACAGGTCCGTGTTGGGTGTCTTCTTTAGTCACTCTCTACATTCAGAGCTCATTGGTTTGGCTAGGCTCATGGGCCAGTGAGAGCTGGTGGTTCTACCTGTCTCTCTGCCTTCTCAGGGCTAGCCTAGTCTACACTAGCCAGAGCTACTTAGTGAGATTCCCCTGTCTCAAAGACAAGCGAACAGAAACTAAATGTGTACACACTAGGTATCTGAACTCAGGTCCACGTGTTCATGCACTTAAGGGTTTACTGACAGAGCTGTCTCTCCAGTGTTTAAGATTTTGATTTCTGTAAGAGAGGTAGTCAGCATGAGAGTGAATCAAAGACTATGTAATCAGAGTATGGTCATGTGGAATAGACAAGAACATGACCCAACATGGAAGGAAACCATAGCATGGGGCCAAGAATGGCTCCTGTGTTTCTAGCATTTGGGAGGTGGTGGCAGGAGGAGCTACAGTTCAAGGCATTCTTGCTACATAGTAGCCAGAAACTCTGGATCCTCCTCAGAACTTGAGCCCCTGTTCACATAAAACAAAAATGTCAGACTGAAAGTGAGTAGGTCTCAATGGGTGGTGATGAAAGAAAGCTTGTAGAGGCAAGGGTGACACCAGTGAGCGAGGACCCACTAAACTGAGGAGCAGTGAGTGCAGACTGGTGAAACCAGTGGTATGTGATGAAGAAAGGTGATGGCAGATGTAAAGCTGTATTTCAGGATGAAAAACCTGCATTGTAATTGTAATTTCAGGGTGAAATCATAGGCATACAGCTGTTATTTCAGTCACACCTTTGTGAGTGGAAAGGCCCTGTGTAAATGCACAATTCACTCTCTGAATTACCTAACCCTCTTTAGTGAGCTGATGCCTTTGAAATCGGAGTTTCATATTTCTCATTGTGGTAAACAGCCATTGTTAATGAGAGTCTGACTGTATCACATTCCAGTACTCAGGATACAGTGGCGATTGCTCTGTAACTGTTACCCTCAGCCGCATAGCCATTTCTCCTGGCATCTTGATGCTCCTAATCAGGGGCTGCCTTCTGGAGCCATGGGTGGTCGTCACAGATGGTTTATACCCCAGGCTTTTAGCCCCAGTCATTTAGCTTTGAAGCAGCCTCAGCTGAGTCATTTATTTTTTAACGAGGCTATCTAATTTTTCAGTTTTAAAATTATGGCTTTGGTTATAACTTAATTTAAAAATCAAAATTTTGGAAGAGAAATGAGCTTTCATTTTATTGAATTTGTCTGCATGCTCAGATTACTTCATGCAGGCCTGGCATGAAGATACATAATGGGATTTCATCAGCATAAATACCCAGAGGAAGAGCTGTATTGAGGAGGAGAATAACAAAGTACTTTTACGTGTGTGTGTGTGTGTGTGTGTGTGTGTGTGTGTGTGTGTGTGTGGCCCAACTCAGGTTTTATCACACTTTATCTGCTGAGCCATCTTTCAGGCATTTTAAAAAGCAGATTACACAAATAAAGTTTACTAAGTGTCCACCTTGAAAGTTAGAAATTTATCTGCTAATTTGCATGTTCACGTGAACAAGGACTGTTAGTTACATGGAGCCCTTTTCTGGAGTTTATTATAAACAGAGGTAGTGCTGGGTATCCAGATGAATGTCATATTAGCTACATTGATGAGAGAAACTAAGAGTGGTTTTAGACCTATGATGCCAAATGCAGTGGTCTCCAGTCTTAATAAGCACAATGTGGGCTGAGGAGACGCCAACAGTAGGTAAAGTACTGTGTCAGCTCAGGGCTCTGATCCCAGGCCCCCACATAAAAGTTGGGTGTGGCTCTTACCTGTAACCCCAGCCAATTGGGGGCTAAAAGAGTGGGGATGGAGGAGTGGAGAGTGAAGGGTGCCAGGGATTTGATGCCCAGCCAGTCTAGCCAAAAGAGTGAGCTCCAGATCTAACAAGACCCTAACTCAAACAATAAGGTGGGGAACAACAGAGGGAGATACACTTTGCATTAACTGGCTTCTGCATGCTCAGGAATGTGCTCATACAGT